CCCTGGACCCTGACAAATTACCAGAACTTAGCGGCAGGCCTCGGAAGATCCCTGGGAAAGGACAGATTTCTCACTCCAAGTCTTCTAGAACTTCCTGTCTCAATTCGGGATTCATAAAAGTAAAACTGAGTTTGAACCGTATTTTTAATACCTCCTTTCAGTAGTTATCAGTTTTCTACCAAGTATATTAGTGCGCGATGGGCTGAGGCGAGGGATTTGGCCAAGTAGAGATCTTGCATGGGATCGAGACCAAGCCCGACTCGACCAAACCAGCTCAGGCAAGAAAAGCCAGTTCATTTGGATCGTGTTAAGATAATCTCATCCTGCTCTCCCCACTCGCTTATTGCCGCATGTCCGTCTGGAAATGCTGGATAATACCTCACATCTTATGATCCTTGATTACGAGATTGAAAAAAGACTCACATCCTAGAACATAACATGGCTAAGGGCACCTTTTATAGTTGTCTGGCTCATGGTGAGCAGATTACCCTCTTGGCATCTTTATAATAGTACGCTAAAAATAACTGGATGGCCTGGAATACTGTCGTTTGGATCATACGATCAATCGCCACAATCCACGAACGGTGGACCCTAAAAGTGACATGCATTAAGCTGTTCATGCGCGAACCATCGCTCATATCCACCGTAGGTTTACGTGCCCTCTTGGTGCACTAAGAGATCATAAATTAACGATCATGTGTTCATTGTACATGCTTTAGTGCTTCGGTGTTAACGCTATTGGGTATGGCTATATTTCACGGGCCATGGTTCACAAACCCGCATTCCTTAAGATTGTCTAAGCCTGTTCAATGTGCTTTGACGTTCCGTCGGCCGACAGCTTGTCCTCCAGTCTCTCTCCTTGCATCTCATCGCGTGATGGGTAAGCCACCTGGTAAACGGTGTACCACGGTCGTTGGAACAGGCTATCCAACTCCTCGAGGGATCTTCCTGTGGTATCCTAACAACGGTCAGCGGCGATATTCTTTAACTAGAAAGGGAATACTCACCGGCATGGCAAAGAAGACATAAACCAATGATGTCAGGCAGATGCAGCCAAAAAACACAAAGGCTCCCCATTTATGTGTAGCTGCGAGAAGACTCGGCATGGCACGCGAACATGCAAAATAAAATGCCCAATGAAACGCCATGGAAATAGACATGTTCAACGACCGAATTCGAATGGGGAATATCTCTGAACCGACCAGGTAAGGGATACTGAACCAACCAATACTCCAGGCCACCGCATGCAGGAAGATCGCAACAATAGCCGCAGTAGACGTGCGAGAGGCGCTGGGAGTTGCACCAATCTCATCGGCTGAGAGATGGTTTGTGACCCCGAGGTATGCGCCCACAAATATTAAGGTGATCAGTTGGAGGCAAATTCCGGTGATCAAAGATCGCCGTCGTCCGATAAAGTCTACAATGAACAGCGCAAAGCACACCGTGCTCACGAACTTGACCACCCCATATATTCCGGTTGCCAGGAATTTGGCCTCATCACCATCGATACCTAGATATCCGAAGATAGAGGGGCTGTATTGGGTGATGGCGTTGGCACCCGAAAATTGAGAAAAAAGAGTCGCCATGAAGATCAAGAAGAAGCGACGACGGTTCTCGACGGGGACGAAAGTCTCCTTAAGTAGGTCCCATACGGTCGCATTACTGACTGCCTCTGTTTCATGCAATATCTGAGCATCCATGCCGGCTAGCTCGGACAGGATCACAGGATGATCGCGAGGCAAGTGGCGAAGCTTGGACATGGTCTCTGCTGCTTGTTCTCGTTGGCCCTTGAATAGAAGCCATCGAGGAGACTCCGAGCATAGGAAAGTTCCGAGTCCCCAGATCACAGCGGGGACAATCTGAAGAAGAGTGGGGAGCATCCATTGCTCATCGACGCCTGGATACTGTTTCGTCACTCCGTAGTTGATGAAAAATCCCAATACTACACCTAGCTGCTGGCACGCCGCGAACAGGACGGTAAGAAGACCGCGAATAGCTTTGGGCGAGATCTATCAAACTTAGGTGAGCAGATGCCACCATAACAAACGCACAATTGGGCGCGACATACCTCAGTAATATAGACTGGAGGAACAATTGACAACGGGCCAATTCCCAAACCTGCAATGAATCTGGATGCATAAAGGCCGGAGAGGTTTCCACCGCAAAGCCCTTGGCCTAAGACGCCAGCAATATAGATGACTGTAGCAATGCGCAGCGTCCAACGTCGACCAAAGCGATCGTTAATGGGGGAGCACTACATACGCCATTGCATAAGTATGACTGATTCATCTGTTGAATTGTAGCAAAAGCAACTCACCCCAAGACACCCAAAGACTGCTCCAGCCGTGGCTATAGATACTAGCCACCCCTTTGTATTGGCATACTCATCCTCCGACTGTGTGTCGACACCAAATCGGGCCTTAAAATGAGCTTGCGTAACGACTGAGGCAATGTTTCCTGTGATATACTCATGAATTAATAATACAGCAAGGGCGAAACTTTCCACACTTGGCAAGATATCGTTGCTTACCTTCATCAAACCCTTTCGACACACCAGAAAGAGCGAAGAAACATGTACACATCAAGACATAAGCATTGAAAACTTCTTTGGGAGCATCTTGCATAGCCCTTTTGGCATCGGCGATAAGTCCCATGGTGTGCGGATCTTGGAACGAAATCTATAATCCGTAATTGAGAGAAATACATCGATGTGCTTCTACCCTCTATTTAGGGGTACAGCAGTTCAAAAATTGGAATTTGGTACTAGTACGTTCAAGCTTATACGGAGGTTAGGGTTTCAACTCCATACCGCACGGCCATCGGAAAATATCCGACGCTCCACCGGCCTCATGGCCCCATGGGGTAAACAGAGTTTTTTGGGTTCATATATAGACTCAGATATACCCCTCCTCCTATAGCCAATGGAGCGTAGATTGTCCGTCGAAAATGAATTTCTATCCAGTTCCCCCGGTGATCCAAGCCGAGATCTATGCGCGCATTCCCGACTCCCTCAGATGCACCGGCCAGCCCACTGAGTGGCGCAGCGGGTCAGCTCTTCCGGCGTCTGGCATTTTCCTCGAAGGTCCCACTTACGTTGCCGATGGGAGTCTCTACATAGTAGACGTCCCGTATGGTCGAATTCTCAAAGTGGACGCGGAAAAGCAGGTAACGGAGTGCGTTCGCTGGGATGGCGAGCCGAACGGGCTTGTGGTGCGAGAGGATGGCTGCATCGTGGTCGCAGACTATAAGCAAGTATGTGACCTGGATTGATTGTATCGCTTGTAAATATCTCTTAGTTAATCGACTGGAATAGGGACTTCTTCTATTCGATCCTTCTACAAATACAATATCCCCAATGCTTACTCGGCGCAACCTCGAGAGGTTCAAAGGCCCTAACGACCTGATCATCTCCTCCACCAACGACATCTACTTTACCGATCAGGGCCAAACGGGAATGACCGACCAGACCGGCTGTGTCTATCGGCTCTCGCCCACAGGCAAGCTTGACTGCCTGATCTCCAACGGAATTTCCCCGAATGGCCTGGCCCTCTCGCCCGATGAGCGGTTTTTGTACGTGGCCATGACTCGGTCCAATGCCGTCTGGCGACTTCCTCTCCATGCCGATGGGTCTACCACCAAAGTCGGTCTCTTCTTCCAGTCCTTTGGATGTGCGGGTCCTGACGGACTTGCCGTGGACGAAGAGGGGAATGTATTCATCTGCCATCCCAGCCTCGGTTCGGTGTTTGTTGTGGATTCGGACGGTGTCCCTAAGGCCAGGATTGTAACAGCGCCAGGCGGTGGAAAGAATCTAACGAACTGTACATTTGGTGGTCCGGATGGGAAAACGTTGTTTATCACAGATAGTCTCAAAGGCAATGTGCAATGTGTGCAGTGGCACTGTAGGGGAGTTCCAGTATCGAAAAGGGTGAAACAAGCCAAGATATAGAGTATAAGTATCAATGAATTGAATTCTAACTTCATCAAGTCCACATTAATCACCTAATTACATTCACAGTCTTGACAGATATTGATACAGATTATCCACTGCTGCAGTGGCACTGGCCAGTTGTGCTCTTGAGGTGGCGGCGCCAATGTGTGGTGTGCTAATGACATTCAAATTCTTCCAAAGAGCTTCGTACTTCTCATGCTGGGTGGCTCCTGCTCATGGCAATCCAACCCTGCGCCCCATAGATAGCCCTCCGATAACGCCTTGGTGAGGTCGGCCTCGTTGACAATACCGCCTCGAGCAGCATTGATAAGAATTGCATCGGGCTTCATTGCGCGAATTTGCTGATAGGAGATCATGCCCCGAGTCTCCGTGGTAAGGGGGACGTGAATGGAGAGCACGTCTGCCTGGGCAAGCACCTCATCGACACTCCTTGCCCTGGTATGTGGGATATGCGACCATACATCCTCGGGCATGTACGCGTCGTAAGCCACAATGTTTGCGTCGAAGCCACCACGGAAGATCTCCGCCACGGTGCGTCCGATGTTCCCCATACCGATGATGCCGATCGTCTTCTGATACAAAGTCAACCCATTGCAGGTCTCCTTCGGTACGGGCTTCAGCATTTGCCGGGATGTGATGGACCGAATTCCCCTAGCAACCGACAAGGACAGTGCAACGACCAGCTCCGCAACGTCTCGCGCATTGGCACCCGGGGTGTTGAGGATCTTGATACCCCGCTGTGCACAAGCATTCTGATCGATCTTGTCGATTCCCACGCCGTGCTTACCGATGGCAATCAAATTCGGGCAGCTCGCGATGTCATCAGCCGTAATATACGAGCTTCGCACTAACAGCGCTCTTGCATTTTGCCGCCAGTTCTTGAATTCTTCATCCTGGGGCTGAACAAGATCGAACAAGGTCTTAGCGTATTCGATGGCCTTGGGAGGGAAGGTGTCAAGAACGTAGACGGTAGGCTTGGATCCAGCAGTCGAAGGACCTGTAGATGATGAGGGTTCTGTAATTCCGGGGGCCATATTTGCGGTATACTCGATAGCTGAATACTTCCAACCGATTTGACTGTTTGGTAGAGGTGATAGCATTATCCATGGTGGTATATATGATTGATCGGACCGGAATCCGTCCGACGGGCGTCTTCCAGGTCATGCACGCCATATCCGGAGAAAGTCCTGAATTAGACCTTGCATCGGATCCGAGACTATCTCTGGTAGTTCATCTAAAGCCTATTGTCGGACTTATTAGTCTATAGTATGCTTAAGATGATGTGGGGGGAACTTACCGGGTCGTGGTATGCTCCTTGCGCAGCCACACTCGATAGAGCTAGGAGCAGTTTCCTGAGCACCTTGAGTGATTGAAACCGCTCCCCAATTGTCGTCAATAGGGCTGTACATTTGCTAATAATGGCTGTTTCCCGTGGAGGCCCTGCCAGTGCCGACAAGGAAGGAAGACAAATGACAAGTACACCCGCCGCGAAGAGGTCGAACCCGTCGATGAATGATGCTACAAACTTTCCTTGTTCGGAGTAATTGTATGCATCATTTATATACGCTTGGCAGCCATCGACGACATCGTGTTCAACTGCTCGTGTGTCTCCCACTATGCCACCACTGGATTGTGTGCCTCGGGTCAATAATGCAATCTGGGTCAACGCTCTGCAGGTGAGCTGCTTTATCGAGACGGAGAGGGCACTGTCGCCAGAAGCAAAGTCCTTTACGGACTTTGGTAAATCTCGCCAGTAGCTTAGGTTGCGGTAGTGGTACAAAGGCCCTCGGGAAGAAGAGCTCCGCACACTGGACATAAGTCGAGCATGCATGATGATATGGCAACCAAAGTCAAACTCAGCTATTGTCTTGGAGGTAGAGTTATAGACTGGAAGCTTGAAGGTGTCAGCAGCTGTCAATAAACGCCATACAATGTGCTCTTACCTGAACCAATATGTCTTCGTCTTCAATACTAAACGGGCGGTCCATCACACAGCTTATGGTTCTGCAGCATCGTCAGCCAATGCCTCCTCACGTCAAAATCACCTCGTACTATTCGACTCACCTGTCAAGTACATAGAGGGCCCAGAAGATGCTGCGCCTGCTGTTCAGTTCTTCTTGACTCGTGTCGGAGTCTGAGAACAACTCCCGGTGCAATCTAAACGAGATGCATTTTTGCATTGCCAATCCCACCAGGTGCCAAGTGGATCCTCCGAGCGAACTGAACATAGAATACAAAGCCAATGACCACAAACAATATAGGGTCTTCACACAGTCCCCCTGCTCTATAATAACAGTAAATCTCTCCGTCGCTGCTGCATGCAAACCAGTCGCCAATAGCTCGCTGCCAGGCTCGGGTGAAAATAGCATTCCAATGGCCACAGCCATGTAGACTCTGAACTCCAAGAACGCGGTCCCTGAATTGAGGCCCTTTGTAGCACTCGACTGCCCTCTACGGGCCTCAAAGCAGCTGTCGAATTCACCCTGTAACTTGCTCCGGTCGATATGAAGAAACATCACCCCGATGTGGTCGAGGAAACGGTTCATGTAAGGTGCGGCAAACTCTTTGCTGATCCCCGTCGCAGGCCCCATCATGGTCACGAATGTTCGTCGATGATGGCACAAATCTTGAGACTGTGATGGATCCTCGCCTGAAATTACCAAGGCGGCTTTCACCATACTTCCTGTGGCTAATTCTTGAGGGAATCCACGAGATTCGTCGCGTGGCTCTGCCATCGCATTGCGGGACAAGAATCCAATCTCCCCCATTGCAGCCTGTACCGACCGCTCACTGAAGCTGGTAGGAGCCGTTGACGGTGTCTGATTCGAGTCTCCTGGGCTACCTACCAAAGTAGACTCCATGTTCGGCGACGGTTGTGGTGGAACCGACGCATCCCTTTCTCGACGTGCCCTTTGCTGTCGAAACTGCGCATCTAGCTCATCCCTTTTTCTCTTAAGAGATTCCACATAGCTAGATTCCGTTATTAGCCCTGTTCAGCTTTCCACACTGCGAAACACGCACTTTGGTACGGCAGCATGCGAGAGGCCACTGCCCTCTTCTGTAGTGGGCCCGATAGGAACGCGCCGGGGGGCACATTGCGCATCAGCTTCCACACATGTCGTGCATGCCGGTAATTGTCTATCACACTATGATGGGTTAGCTTCACATGCTGGGTGTACAATATTGGTCAAGACCTTTTGCTTGCGCTTCCAGCATCTCTCGCAGGCCTGGAGTCTCCGTGCATTGGCTGCGGCCGAAACAGGGGATGTCCGATGGCCAGACTCCATGTCCGATAACTGAACGACAATAGCGGGGAAAGACGACAGTCCTATCGGACCTTGTGCTGGGGCAAAGCAGCGCTAAGTAGGCGTCAAGTCGTCGAAAGTGGATATTGTCCGAGGGTTGTTGGACGGATCTTTCCCGATTACCTTACAATACCCTCAACGCTCGGCAGATTCCCTCCCATGCATTGCCGAAGCTATTCTAACTTCTTATCATAGATTCATAGTTTATGGCTCCCACAACCTAACATGACCATAGCGTTCCGCTATTTCCACATAGCGCCAAGTCATGAATCATACAGCTCTAACATGAAGATGTAAACGCGGGGCGTTCGTCCAAACCTAGCAAGACACTCCTAGCCAAGCACTCATCTGGATAGCGTCGCTACGCTCTATAGCCCAGAATTGGTCTTTGATTGCTTTTATTTGATCTAGGCCAGACTGGCGGACTTAGGTAGACTTGGACATTGTTCTTGGAACTTCCCAGTAGTCATATAGGGTTAGCCAGATGGTCCATAGCAGTCCCAAGCCTGTCCCTCCACATGTGGCTTGCCCTTTATAGGATAAATTTCATGCCAAGCCAAGATTTTCTGTATCAAATTATACACTAGTGGTAACAAATATTGCCGGGGCTCCGCATTCTTTCCCCACAAGTGGCCATGCGCCATGCATGGAGTCGTCAACTCCCTCCCCAAAGGGAAGTGCTTGCATGTATCTCTCTGCCTGTACCTACTCAGCAAGTCGGAAGCATACGCGCCGACAGGTATGATAGAAGTAGATCTTGTATAAGCCCACCTTGTGGTGACCATGATCCACAGTACTGGGGGGAAGCATGTCCCTCGACTTCCAGCCTGTCAATCGTGTTATACAAAGAAGATAAAAGTATTCTCATTGATCTACACTGATGTCCGACTTGGCAGAACGTGGTTGCTGACTGCAGATAGTGCGATAATGCGCGACCAAAATGTATGCCTTGTGTAAAGAGTGGCCATGCATGCTTCACCGTTAGCCTCGGGGGGACTGTTCCGGTTTCAAGAGAGTAAGCCTGACATTGTGCCAAGCACGTCTGTCCATGGCCCCCTATGCTTACGCTCTAAATAGGTACATCTATGAACTAGAGCAGCATGTACAAGGCCTCCAGACAGAGATGACCGTGGTGGAAGGTCAAGAGGTGGACCGAGGATATTCTCACTCCACGGCAGCAGTGACAGAGAGCCCAACGCCGACACGACCTGAAAGACATAATCAAGCACCGGAACCTTCGATAGCAATACAGAGTAATGATGTGATTTCATCACCCAGTATCACGGAGGGGGTCGGGATCAGGTACGCTCTGGGGCCTTAGATTGAGGGTCAGCTCTGACCGTAGAATCACAGTTTTATGAGCTTGCTTTTTGCTGATGCCAGGTGGCGAGACCAAAATCTAAAGCTTTTGCAAAATCTCTCCCAATCTTCTGGCATTCTGGAAACTTCGGTGCAGCCGAATTCTCTTCCTCCTGCGGAGGAAGCATTGGCAGTGTTCAACAACTAGTAAGTGACTGGATTGCCACTTACCAATCGAGAGCTGAAACGGATGTATGAAGCTTGAATGTATCCCATGTGCAGAACCCATTCCTGCTCCGCCGAGATGTACAGAGATTGTACCATTCCGTCTTTTCAACAGGCCAAACCGGTCCTTCCTCGCAAATACCGGACCATCTAACAAAGCACGACGCCTTTCGTACCTTTATGATTCTTGCTGTTGGGTCGGTCATGTTATATCGATCCGGCGCTCATAAACACCACCCTTACGGCTACTTTCTCACAGCATTGCAATATATCGATACGAATATCTTGTCAAGGGGGTTGGATTCTATTCAGGATCTATTATTCGTCGCGAGGTTCGGCATCTATCATCACATCGGTACGTGTCCAGCTTTCCCATGCTGGTTCTAGCTAATACTTTGCAGGTACATCAATCTGGGAGCTGACCACACTATGTATGAGGATGTGCATCGAGCAAGGCCTTCATAAGCTGCCTCGACCCACTATGAGACGCAAAATGACACTTCTGCAAGAGCAGTTGCAGCGCCGGGTCTCTGGGAATGCTACATGATCAGTCAGTATAGCTCAATCACACTGGATCGTCCAGCTGCAATTGCGGATAGGGATATCCAAGTTGGGCTTCCTGCCGATGCCGATGATCAAGAGATCGATGCCGCTGAGGCATCTGGATCGTTCTCGGATCTTGACTCTTTCTGCAGAGCCACTACAAGGCCTACTACGATGGGGAACACCGAAATGACGGTGTTTTTTTTATTGCCTGCGGCTGCGCAAAATCACTTCAAAGATTCGGTCCAAGTTTCAACAAGGCAGTGGGCCCCCTAGCAATGTTGGACATGCGTGGACAATGGACTCCATCACCGCGAGTGGGAGGATCTATGCAGATCTAGAGGAGTTACTGTCGGAGCTCGAGGAATGGCGGCGATCGGCTCCCATGTTCTCTAATCCACGAGGCTTGTACCACACACAGGAATGGTATGATCTGCTGTTACTGAGGGAAAGACTGCTTCTAGTGCGCAAGGCAATCGACCTGGTGCCGAAGCGGAACAATATCCCCCCAGGCGACCTCCTCTTGATCTGCCTCGAGTATGCCGTCGGTACCATTACGAAGTTCTGCCCTTTGTTTGAGCAAGGGAAGATTACCTACACTCGGAGTTATTTCCAAATGCTGTTCACTGCCGGTCTCTCGGTAATGCTCTGGGTATCGGTGGCAAGTAACCATGACACAGAGACGATGGTCAAGGCGGCAGACGCGGTAAAACAGAGCGAAAAAGCATTAAAACAGATGGGGCGTGAGATGCCAGATGCGACTCCTTACGTGTCTGTCTATGAGGCCTTACAAGTACATGTATTAGGGAAGTATAATGTCGCGTCTAGGACAACGCAGCAAACGGGAGGATACCTCGGGCAGACCCAATCCCAGTACACGGGGATGGACGGTATGCTTCATAATCAAAACACGACAGGTGAATATCATTCTGTCGAACAAAACCCTTCACAGTTTGGCAGCCACTGGCCGCCCCTACTCAATGATTTAGGCACACATCAGCAGCTGGATCATGAACCTTCCACCTACGCTTCTCTTCTTTCACGAGATCTATTCGGAGACAACACATTCTGGAATGTGGAAGTGGGACTGGGGGAATATGCGTATGGGGATCCGATGTTTCTTTTCTCGGGTATAGCAGATGACAGCATATAATATGTACATAGAACAAACGAAGGATTCACAACTGTTCCCCTCCTCTAGGGCTCCTTCTGTAAACGCTCACTAATTTCACCGTAATTCTTGCTCATCTGCTTCAATCCTGCTTGCAGCATGGACGCATCCTGGCCACTCAAGGACCAGGTTGCTCCCATCTTGAACCACTTTTCTAGGATGTCCAGTCGCCCGCCAATACCTCCAATACCCACCGGCTTGCCAGCTCGATTAGCCGCCTGGATCACCTTGATGACAGCATCTTGATACAAGTCATTGTCATACTTTCCAGGGATGCCCAGGTCGGTACACAAATCGTTAGAGCCGACCAAGACCCCATCGACTCCCTCAACTGCGAAAATCTCGTCGGCAATCTCCACTGCTCCCGGAGTCTCAATCATCGGAATCAACATGGTCTGCTCGTTTAGAATCTCATTCTGCACGAGTGTCGGGACATGCTGGAAGTTCATCACTGCTTGGTTGTTGGTGCATCCCCGTGTCCCCAGAGGGGCAAACTTGGCATGCTTCACAATATCCCGGACCTCCTGGACGGTTTCGATATGCGGGATCACAACGGCCGCAGCACCGGCGTCTAGGATGCGGCTGATATGCCAGTGTGACTTGGATGGTGAACGAACAACGGGAGAGACACCGGCATAATTGCAGGCGAGAATGAGTTGGGCGACAGTGCGCATGTCGAGGGCGGAATGTTCCATGTCAATGAACATAGCATGAACACCGGCCATCTTGCACATCATGGGTATTTCATTGCCCGTGACAAACTTAATAGACATCAGCGGCGTGATTTGGCCATTTAGAATTCTGGTCCGGAAGGGGTTGTTGAGGGTGTATGTTGGATGTGCGATGGAGCCCATGATGAAGATAATGATATGTGATGGTCTGGTAAAGTGAATCTGAAAGCTTAAGTCACGATATCTATAACCAAATAATCAAGTCAAGGCCCTCTTCTAAGTCATTACATCTTCTCACTTAAGTATTCCCTACTTCTGTGCTGCTGCTCTGACGCATTCGGAGGATTTCCGATGGAAGCCCTACTGAGTCAGGGACGCAGAACGTCGGACGGATTGTATCCGAACACTAGCCCACTAGTATCCTTCTAACTATCGGACCTCCGCATAATGAGTCGTAATCTATGGTTATCATACTTTATCAGACGTTCCATTGGGGTCTGAATTCCGACCACAATTCCCTCCGGCAGTGGGTTCCCCACGGGGACAGCTGGAAATGAGAGGAAACCGAGCAAGACATGCCATACCTCAAGGTTGTGGTGTCCATCTATTATTAATACACAAGCTGTGGTCTGGATGAGGTGCCTCTCGGGGAATTGTTGGCTTGGAGTACCGGATCATGGTTTGCTATAGTTCAAATAGATGTATGTTGAATGCCACCTTGTGGTCGTTGTGATATTACTCCGACGATAGATTCAATGAGACATTCCCTAACTGCATTCAAGACAAGCTAAATGCAACGCTATCGTGAAACAACAAATCATCAACATCATGGCTTAGCTATATACTATATAGGTAAGCCTTCGTATAAATTTCTCTCAAACTATTCCCGTCCCAAATTGTGATGCATATCTCGTACGTTAAGTCGCGTACCGCCATTCCGTGACATTTCCACTGACAGCCTCAGCCTCGTCCAGTTTCTTATTCTTCCTCATACACCACCAACGCGTGATCAAACAACAGATCACAGACAGTCCGCATCCGGCGATAATAATCCCTCCGCCTGTTTGGTACCGTGGCTCTTGGGACCGAAGGAAGAAATACGGGGTGAACCAGTGGGACACGGAGGACACGCAGTTAGCAATGGCGATCAAAGCTGCTCGTTTCGTCCGTGGACGAGGTACAACGGTGGTTTCCCAGGATATTTGGATCTAGGAAATTAGTCAATCGGTTCTCGGACTTCTGGGGTCAAGGGAATACTCACGTTCAACCCAACGAATGGTCCCGTGCACAGTAAGATCAAACTAAAATAGCGAGCGCCCCGGTCCAATGTTGATATCATGATAACCGCTCCCGCTAGAGAGACGAGTATCGGTCCGATAATATGCCAACAATGGTCCCCCGTCCTGCCGGAGGACCAGGAGATGATGAGCGTGGAGATGTAGGCAATCACATACGGTGGGGCCTGTACAAGATAGGTCACGACTTCAGAGAAGTTGAGAGTCTTCACTATCTTTACGTGTGTCAGTAGGTCTATTGGGGACATCCTCTGCATGGCTCGGGCTTACCGATGGAAAGAAGTCTTTGAACGACTGGGCGATGATAAGCGCGAAATGAATAGCAGCGAAGCACCACGTAAAAGGATCCTTGACTGCAAGCAACACTCCTCCCCAGTAATCGCCTTCCTCATCTTCACGGACCCCACCCGCGTTGACCACTTGTCGATATTCTGCCATGGCGGCTTCTTCCTCCGTGAACCACGAGCGACCAGTGTTGTTGGGAAAGTTTGGGATAAACCAAAAACCAGACACCGCGACCATGATGCTCACAATTCCCTCCAGAAGGATGAACCACTGCCAGGCCCGAAGCTTGGCTATTCCATCCATGTTCGTAAGAATGGCTGCGGCGAGGAGGCCAGAGAACACATTCGAAATAATGTTGCCCGCATGCCAGATTCCCATCCGTAAAGGTGATTCTTGCTTGGTATACCACGACGAGGTGAGCAGAGAAACTGCCGGGACAAAAGGGCCCTCAGCCACACCGACCAGAAAGCGACAGAGGCAGAATCCCCAGCCGGAAGACAGAGCAAGCATGCAGATAGTTACCGCGGACCAGGTTAGCGCAATACAGGGGAAGAGTATGCTGGGCTTCCCCTTCGCGATAATAACATTCGCTGGCACCTGTGATATGATATAGCCCACATAGAAAAGCGAAATCCCTGCCGACCACACTGTATCTGACATGTGGAGGTCGCTTTGCATCCCGGCAAGACGGGCATTGGACACATTGATGCGATCCAGATAACTAGTTACGTTTAGTATCATGGGTTTTCCTTTTCCTCCTAAAGGGTTATGATGAACGATGTACTCACCTCATAAGAAGAATCATTGTAATGCAAGGCAGAAACTGCCAGTCCAACTTTCGTAGCACAGAACGGTTTAGTTTCTCCAGCTCCTCGGGGGATTTGTCCTGGAGAATTGGAAACAGTTCTAAAAGAGGATCACGCTGGGGAGAATCTTTGAGATCCTCCACGTGTGTGTGCGACTCTGGTTCTTTCGAGGTCATCTTTCGCGGTATGGATGTCCTCAGTCTACTGGGTAACTGCGAGGGGTGTCTGGAGAGCCATTGTTCTGGAACTGAGGAGCATGCTCGCTTTATATACGCAATGCCGCTGATAACAAGCGGGGATGCTACATTGCTAAACCCCAGATTTCACCTTAACAGTCTCCACTTCCCCAGACTCTACAAGCTCTGGGGGAAGTGGTCGAACAATCACGAGGTATGAGAGGAGTCCGACTTGGCATGTCTCTTTCATCGGAAAAAGTCCGGACACTCACTTTGGAGGAATGAGCGCTCCAATGGGGTCAAGGATTTAAGACAGATGCTTTCTCTTTGAGGGGGGGAGGGATTGATTGGGCATGAAACATGGTAGCGCGGAAGATGTCTGCACAGCCTTGAAGTCACCCACACTAGAGGATTGGTGGCGTATGCTCTAGGACATTCCTCATATTCTCTTGTCTGTGCGTCGTTTCTCAGGCGCGGGCAATCTCAGCTGCTGCTAAGATTTATACCGTACCTACAGATCTAGTGAAACTTGGTATAACTTTCCCTAGAACTATACTCGGGGTTCTGATTGCTATGTATCCATCTCAGCAGACTTCGGTAAACATTGGCATCGGATACTCCTAGCTAAGAGCCTGATTCACTATCATATTGGGTATCCCATGGACGCCTTGAAAGCAAACCACAGTCCATATTCCTCACCGTATCCCGCTGGACACTTTCTAGTATAAGATGTCCGTTTCCAGAAGAGCGACCTTCCCATTTTGATCCCCACCGGCCATAACAGCATCAAATTTCGTAGCGTCCGCACCCCTCGCTCCATCGGTCTGTTCGCTGTGGCGCAATTGTTTGCGTTGAACTTCCAAGTCCTTCGGTGGTGTGACTTCGGTAGATCAGTGTACTCGGGCATGATTTTGCGATCAGCATGGCTCGTATATTCACGGTATGATATTGATGGTGCTAAACAATCATCTGGACAGCAGAGGCTCCCTATTAGTAGTGAATATTGTACGTAGAATATGGTTGTCGCGTGTGACACATGTTGGAGGGGATACGCGACGCGTCCGCCCAAGCTATTCTAGCGGCACTCTGCCATGAAAGACGCAGGCTATTGTCAGAGGGCCAACGATTTGAAGTTTGATGGCTTGCTCAATGGCTTTCCCTTGTTAGTATAATCTCTTATCCTGTTGTCTGGCTGTACGGGGTCTAATGTCCATCTCGCGTCGCGGTTTGTTGTCGAGTCTGCGATTAGTCAGTGATGATGTTGAACCCTAGTTGAACCCTCCCCGTTGGCCCTTCAAATTCTGGCCATTTACCAATATCGAGATATGTAAAAAACATTCGGATTTTCTGAACAAATTAACAAAAGAATCAGTAGCGTATAGTATGGCTCATGGTGTTTTTTCTGGATTTTTTGGTCCATGTTTGACTTCGTTCGCTTCCAACAACCTTCTATAAAAGTTCGCCCTCAGTTCCTGACGGGAATATATATAGTTTATGGCAGAATAGAGCCATGATACAACTAACATCCATAACCCACCC